TTTTAACTGATGAGGTGTTGGATCCGTGACATTACCACTGAATTATAGAATCATAGAACTGGAAGGGACCTCGAGAGGTCATCTAGTCCATTCCCCTGCACTCAAGGCAGGGCTAAGTATTATCTATACCATCCCTGGCAGGTGTTTGTCCAACCTGCTCTTAAAAATCCCCAATGATGAAGATTCCACAATCTCCCTAGGCAATTTATTCCAGTGCTTAACCACTCTGACAGTTAGGAAGTTTTTCCTAATGTCCAACCGCCCTTGCTGCAATGTAAGCCCATTGCTTCTTGTCCTATCCTCAGAGGTTAAGAAGAACGATTTTTCTCCCTCCTCCGATTTTTCTCCCTCCTCCTTGTTACAACTTTTTATGTACTTTAAAACTGTTACCATGTCCCCTCTCAGTCTTCTGTTCTCCAGACTAAACAAACTCAATTTTTTCAATCTTCCCTCATAGGTCATGTTTTCTAGACCTTTAATCATTTTTTGTTGCCCTTCTCTGCACTTTCTCCAATTTGTCCACATCTTTCCTGAAACGTGGTGCCCAGAACTGGACACACTACCCCAGTTGAGACCTAATAAGTGTGGAGTAGAGTGGAAGAATTACTTCTCCTGTCTTGCTTACAATACTCCTGCTAATACATCCCAGAATGTTTGCTTTTTTTGCAACAGCGTTACACTGTTGACTCATATTTAGCTTGTAATCCACTATGACCCCCAGATCCCTTTCTGCAGTAGTCCTTCCTAGGCAGTCATTTCCCATTTTTTATGTGTGCAACTGATTGTTCCTTCCTAAGTGGAGTACTTTGCATATGTCCTTATTGAATTTCATCCTATTTACTTCAGACCATTTCTTCAGTTTATCCAAATCATTTTGAATTTTAATCCTATCCTCCAAAGCACTTGCAACCCCTCCCAACTTGGTATCGTCCACAGACTTTATAAGTGTACTCTCTGTGCCATTATCTAAATCATTGATGAAGATATTGAACAGAACCGGACCCAGAACCGATCCCTGCGGGACCCCACTTGTTATGCCCTTCCAGCATTATTGTGAACCGCTGATCACTACTGTCTGGGAACAATTTTCCAACCAGTTATGCACCTACCTCATAGTCGCTCCATCTAGGTTATATTTCCCCAGTTTGTTTATGAGAAGGTCATGCGAGACAGTATCAAAAGCCTTACTAAAGTCAAGATATACTGCTTCCCCCCCCATCCACAAGGCTTTTTACCCTGTCAAAGAAAGCTATCCCATTGGTTTGACATGATTTGTTCTTGACAAATCCGTGCTGACTGTTACTTTTCACCTTATTATCTTCTAGGTGTTTGCAAATTGATTATTTGCTTCATTATGTTCCCAGCTACAGAAGTTAAGCTGACTGGTTTGTAATTTCCCGGTTTGTCTTTATTTCCATTTTTATAGGTGGGCAGTATATTTGCCTGTTTCCAGTCTTCTGGAATGTCTCCCGTCTTCCATGACATTTCAAAGATAATTGCCAATGGCTCAGATATCTCCTCCTTCAGCTCCTTGAGTATTCTAGGATGCATTTCATTAGGTCCTGGTGATTTGAAGACATCTAACTTGTTTAAGTAATTTTTGACTTGTTCTTTCCCTTTTAGACTCTGATCCTACTTCATTTTCACTGGCATTCACTATGTTAGATGTCCAATCGTTACCAACCTTCTTGGTGAAAACCAAAAAGTCATTAAGCACCTTTGCCATTTCCACATTTTCTGTTATTGTCTTTCTCCCCTCATTTTCTAACTTTGTCCCTACATACTTGTTTCAGAGTAACAACAGTGTTAGTCTGTATTCGCAAAAAGAAAAGGAGTACTTGTGGCACCTTAGAGACTAACCAGTTTATTTGAGCATAAGCTCACTTCTATTATTTATTTATATTCATCCTTTGTAATTTGACAGTTTCCACTTTTTGTAGGACTCTTTTTTTTTTTTGAGTTTTTTCACTTTGTTTCTACTGCCTGTTCCTCCCTTCTCACATTTATATCCAGACTACTTCTCCTTGTCCAGACCTATTCCACCCCCAACAATCTTCTATTCATTGAACTTTTTGAAACTTTGCACTTGTAGAGAGAGGTAAGGGATTGACTCAGTGTACTCAAATTTGCAGAGGGACAATAGGGTTGAGGTCTGTTATTTCTCACCTCTATATATTTATTTATTTATTTAAAACATTTTTTGCTGTTAACAAGCATGTTATCTCTGGAGACACAAATCCACAGTTTGAGAACTGCAAAACTAAGCATCTCTGATGGTATCTTTTAGACTGAGTATTGAGTACCATTGGGTAGATAGAAATATTAACCTAAATAATCTATACAGAAGCCCCTGGAATGCCATAAGATTGGATCCCTAATCCATGAACTATTGTAACTCATTTACAAAACTTTTCTTAAACATTACGTGAATATATTGTCTCATACCATAGAATTAGAATTTATAATCCCTATTCCACGATGAGATATTTTTGAGGTCTAATGTATCTTAATTAAAACGACCTTTAGATAGGTTTTTTCCTCAAAGCATTTTATCAAAAAAAATCCGATTTTTAAATTCATCGATTATTATCCACCCTGGTGACTGGGCAACAAAATGGCACATGAAATTCAATGTTGATAAATGCAAAGTAATGCACATTGGAAAACATAATCCCAACTATACATATAAAATGATGGGGTCTAAATTAGCTGTTACCACTCAAGAAAGAGATGTTGGATTAATTGTGGCTATTTCTCTGAAATCATCTACCCAGTGTGCAGCGGCAGTCAAAAAGCTAATAGAATGTTGGGAATCATTAAGAAAGAGATGGATAATAAGACAGAAAATATCATATTGCCTCTATATAAATCCATGGTCCGCCCACATCTTGAATACTGCATGCAGATGTGGTCGCCCCATCTCAAAAAAACAATATATTGGACTTGGTAAAGGTCAGAAAAGGGGAACAAAAATCATTAGGGGTATGGAGCAGCTGCCATATGAGGAGAGATTAAGACTGGGACTTTTCAGCTTGGAAAAGAGACAACTAAGGGGGGATATGATAGAGGTCTATAAAATCATGACTGGTATGGAGAAAGTAATTAAGGAAGTGTCATTTGCTCCTTCTTATAACACAAGAAGAGGGGTCATCAAATGAAATTAATAGGCAGTAGATTTAAAACAAATTGAAGTATTTCTTCACACACTGCACAGTCAATCTGTTGAACTCTTGGCCAGAGGATGTTGTGAAGGCCAAGACTATAACAGGGTTAAAAAAAAAAAGTAGATAAGTTCAGGAAGGATAGGTCCATCAATTGCTCTTAGCCAGGATGGGTAGGGATGTTGAAGCCTCTGTTTGCCAGAAGCTGGGAATGAACAACAGGGGATGGATCACTTGAGGATTACCTGTTATGTTCATTCTCTCTGGGGCACCTGGCATTGGCCACTTTTGGAAGACAGGATCCTGGGCTAGATGGACCTTTGGTCTGATCCAGTATGGCCGTTCTTATATAAGAACATAAGTTAGCAAAAAGTGTCAAGTTTAATTTAAATATATGTTTAATAGCAAAGCAACTGTTTTAGTGGTTACCTATCAATGAAGATGATCCTTTCTTTAGGAAAATATCTAAAGTATAAATGCAAAAGTAGTTTTAAAATCAATTATTTAAATCAAGGTTTCTGCTTGCTGATTTAAATCACTGATTTTGATCACGATTTAAATCAATCCACTGTGGCTGCTGTTCAGAGTGAGCATTTCTCATGCTCTAGAAATCATGAGTTAAGTTGCTGTCTAAATCAAGATTTCACTAAGGGCACAGAAATCATGAAAATGTTCTCAAACTGTGATCTTTTAAATATTATTTTTAAAAAAGGAAAATGTCTGCAACAAAATTTTTAATAAAAAAAGTTACCTTAGGCTAGTCAGTTTCAAGGGTGGAAAGTAAAGCAGTACTTGTAAATTCATCCTACCCTTAAAATTGACTAAATTTGGTCATAAAATTCATTTAAAGAAAAGTCTGTGAAATTCAGTATTTTGATATTTACACTGTTGTAATTTTTTTTAGTGTTCTGCAGAGGGCCATAGTCATTAACTGTACAAGGTGAGGAGAGCGTGTTCTCTCTCCCCCCTCACCCCCCCGAAAGCTTTTTCAAATGGGCACTGCGTCTCAAAACACCAAATAACAAAAACCAAAACCATTGTGTGTAAAATGTTAGTTAAATTCAGTGTAGGACTTTCTAAGTTGAGCACAAATTTAAGTGGTATTTGTTAGATATAGCTGTAATGTAAGTCCACCTCTTGTCTGGTAACTTCACCCTTATTTTGTAGACGTGCTTAGTTTTTATTTTAACTCCATCTTGTTAAATTCTTCGCTACTGTTGGAACACAAGTGTACAGTTTTTGATGGCTTGGTGAGATATATGCTATGCTATGTCTAGCTTCACTGGATAAGCACAGTAATGGATGTAATTGTTATGTTACTTGGTGAAGAAATGGTGAGTTGTATTAGGAACAAGTGAACTGGAGTGCCCCTAGACTAAATAACCTATGATAACTATTTTCTTGGGCTACTGAATTCTGTAATGACATGGCTAAAGACGTTAATGAGGTCAACACTGGGCTTAAAAATGGAGATAAATAGAGTGAAGTTCAAGTTCCCTCCCTCCCCTTGCTTTTTATGTCTGTGGACTCTAGTGGAGCCTTCACAATATTATTTATACAGATGGATGAGCTAGTAATATTGGCATTGGTGTAAAGAGTGCTACATCCTTGTAGTGCAAACACAGCTTCACTACTCGTAGAACTACACTCCCTTCTCTTTCCTCTCCCCACCAAGTCTCATGAAATACTTGTTGCCCTAACAGTTTTTTCTTTATAGGGCTGTTGCTAAGAATTTTTGGGGGTGAGGGGTTGAATGGTGAAGCATCACCTTATCCTCACAATTATCCTCAGTCTCTAGTACTCCTCCTCTGTTGTTCTTCTCTCACATCTAGCTTTTTTTCGGTATGGTCTCTTTCATGAATAACTCAAGACTCTGCTTCCGTTCCTGGCTTTTCCTGGCCAACATCATTAAATTGTCACGATGGAAAGTTTCACAGCTACCCACAAGCAGCAGCAGTGAACCTGACAATCATGTAAGCTTCCCTCTGCCTCTGGGTAGCAATGCTATGATCCATAAAGGATGTGCTGGGGTTGCAGGCAGACTTGAGAACAGAGAGCAGCATATATATAACAGTTTATAACATTTGCTTCATGTTTAGGATGTTCTCTACTATGATAAGAGCTAGAAACTCAATTTAAAAAAATGAAGACTAAAATCTATAGACATTTATGGGTAATGCCCTGGGGAAGCTTTCCACTCTCCTCTGGCAGGTGGATTTTTTCAGTCATGTGAGAGAGTATAGCTACAGCATGTGAAAAAAGCATTTCAATGTTGGATATAAGCAGGCTACTTGCTACCCATGTCAAAAACGGGCAGCCTTTTCAGTATACTTGGGGTTGCCATCAAAATACTAAAAACCCAAAAACCAAACCTGATTTTATCCAAAGCTGCCAAAGTATTAACTTTGTATTAAAAATTGCTGGGTGTTGCAAGGTGTACTTTAAAGATTTAGAGAAGTTCCTTGCCCTGAAGAGCTTAAACTGGGGGAGAGGGAGGGAGGGAAATACAAGAAAAACAACCATCACAGCAATTCAGATAAAGGAGATTGAGGTGAAATTATTAGTGAAAAGAAAAGAGGAAGAACTCCTGAAAGTTGGTTTTAAGGTGGCTTTTGACAGAGGTCGTTGGGGCTTGAAAACTCTTCTGTAGAGGTGGTAGTAAATAAGATATGAAAGTGGCTTTAAAAAAAAAAGCGAGCAGTAAAGTATGAAGATTTATGTATGTGAAAGAGCAGGAAAGTAGATCAGAAATGTATGTGAAGAAGGTTAGCAAAAGCCTTCAAGGGAAGGGCAAACTTACTTGACATTTACATCACTTCTGTTTGCTCTGCATCTTCATATGCTATGGTTATATGTGCATAATACATATATGCAAAAAATAGTTGCATAATATGAGAGGAAAGGCAATATTTATCTTAGAGAGCAAAGCTACTCCATGCTACTCTTATGCATACAGTTAGTGACTAAGTGCTTGCTTATCTCATTTAGCACAGATTTCTGTTTTCAGCCTAATGACCTGTTTACCTTCCTAATTCTGACCTACTGACTGCTATTCCTACCTACATGCCTCCAGCTTTCATCCAGATCACAGCACACGATCCATTGTCTACAGCCAAGCTCTACATATAACCACATTTGCTCCAACCCCTCAGACAGAGACAAACACCTACAAGATCTCTATCAAGCATTCTTACAACTACAATACCCACCTGCAGAAGTGAAGAAACAGATTGATAGAGCCAGAAGAGTACCCAGAAGTCACCTACTACAGGACAGGCCCAACAAAGAAAATAACAGAAAGCCACTAGCCATCACCTTCAGCCCCCAACTAAAACCTCTCCAACGCATCATCAAGAATCTACAACCTATCCTGAAGGATGACCCATCACTCTCACAGATCTTGGGAGACAGGCCAGTCCTTACTTACAGACAGCCCCCCAACCTAAAGCAAATACTGACCAGCAACCACACACCACACAACAGAACCATTAACCCAGGAACCTATCCTTGCAACAAAGCCCATTGCCAACTGTGTCCACATATCTATTCAGGGGACACCATCATAGGCCCTAATCACATCAGCCACACTATCAGAGGCTCGTTCACCTGCACATCTACCACTGTGATATATGCCATCATGTGCCAGCAATGCCCCTCTGCCATGTACATTGGTCAAACTGGACAGTCTCTACGTAAAAGAATAAATGGACACAGATCAGATGTCAAGAATTATAACATTCAAAAACCAGTTGGAGAACACTTCAATCTCTTTGGTCACTCGATTACATACCTAAAATTTACAATTCTTCAACAAAAAAACTTCAAAAACAGACTCCAGTGAGAGACTGCTGAATTGGAATTAATTTGCAAACTGGATACAATTAACTTAGGGTTGAATACTGGGAGTGGATGTGTCATTACACAAAGTAAAACTATTTCCCCATGTTTATTTCCCCCCCCCCCCCGTTCCTCAGAAGTTCTTGTCAACTGCTGGAAATGGCCCACCTTGATTATCATTACAAAAGGTTGGCCCCCCTCCCCCCCCCCGCTCTCCTGCTGGTAATAGCTCACCTTAAGTGATCACTTTCATTACAGTGTGTATGGTAACAGCTATTGTTTCATGTTCTCTATGTATATAAATCTCCCCATTGTATTTTCTACTGAATGCGTCTGATGAAGTGAGCTGTAGCTCACGAAAGCTTATGCTCAAATAAATTGGTTAGTCTCTAAGGTGCCACAAGTACTCCTTTTCTTTTTGTGAATATAGACTAACACGGCTGCTACTCTGAAACCTTCCTAATTCTATCATCCAAGAAATGAGGCCTCCCTCCATGTGTTAATTACTCATTACAGGCCAGGCCTCAGCTAGAATAGTCATGCTGTGATTGACTAAGGGCTTGTCTACACTGGCAGTTTACAGCGCTGCAATGTTCTCGCTCAGGGTTATAAAAAAACTTATCTTATCAGCCCTGTAATATAAGACTGTGTCAGAGACTTGCGTTAGAGCCTCATATTATTACTTACCATTTATACAGTGCCTCTAAAAATCATTCTCCCTTTCATCTCGTATCCCTTTCAGGTACGAGGTTATTTTTACTTATTTTTTGAATTTATTATTTAAAAAAACAAAATAAAGGCAAAACCAAGTTTTGAAGGCTGAAAGTTGGCATTCGAGTTTTCAGTGAGGAATACACAAACCTGTGTATATAACAGTCTTCAACTAAACCAAAGATAATTTGAAGCTTGAAGTATCTAGATTAGAACTTCTGTTGTTTATGTGGCAGAAACAAATGCTGGAGTCTGTTTTCCTTCCTACAAGATGATGTGGTGGGTGAAAGACCTGCCTTCCTCTATCTCCAGCCTTTCTTTGTCTCTGGAGGGAGGCCCTCTGCCGTATACCACTGTTGCTGCTACAGGGACAGTTGGGTGACTACAGGTTTGTATGTCCTACTGCTAGCTCTAATGTTAGGGTGGCTTTGGATACTGATCTTCGAATCCCAGGTCTGATTGGTCTGGAGCCTATTTTTATTGTCAAGCCATATACCAACTTTGGCTGAATGTATTGCTAGGACCATTACCATTGGGAGGGGTAAGCATTAATGGAATTTGTCTAACTGCCTTCTTGCTTAACCTGATGGATGCAACTGTATTTAAAAACTGTTTTTAGGCTTTATTTCAGTCCTCTTAACTGTAATTTATAACTCTGCACTTCTATAGTACTGTTCATTCAAGGACTTCAAAGTACTTTTTATACGTTAATTTGCAATGCCCAACCCTCTTGAGAGACATGTGGGATTGCTTCATGCAGCCACCTCTGGAGTGAGACATAGCAGCTTGACAGCAGTGTTACTCAACAGTTTGGGTCAGGAAATGAAGAATATCGTATCTAACAAATTACAGAGGCAGAATGAGTTGCTGCCTCTTAGGAAAATTACAGACTTCTATAGTTGTCAGGACCTCTGTCTCTCATCCCAAGTGAGATTCGGGAGCAGTGTTCCTTAACACCGTGCTGGGGTGCTGATTTATTAGTGACTTGGAGATAAAAACGCCATTATCTAATCGCCAACATCACCTCCAAGATATCGGTGACTTAGCACAGCCCTACTTGGCTTCTGAGACCTGAAAGGATCACAGTGCAAAACTTTATGATTACAGACATACTCTTTTATATAGATATAGAAGGGACTTCCTGGGTCATGGAATCCAGCCACCTGCTATTTCAGGTAACACTATCATATAATCTTGTTCATAAATTTATCAACCTCCATCTTAAAATTAGGTTGGTTGTTTTTCCCACTACTCCTGTTGGGGAAGCTGTTCCAGAACTTCACTCCTCTGATGGTTAGAAAACTTCTAATTTCCATCCAAAATTTATTCATAGCCCGTTTATATCCATTTGTTGTTCTGCCAGCATTGTTTCTTTATCTTAAATAGCTCTTCTCCTTCAGTGATGTATTTATAGAGAGCAATCATATGCTTTCTTGGCTTGTTTAGCCTAGCAAAATGAAGGCTAAGCTCTTTTAGTCTCTTCTCCTAAGGTCGGCTCTGCATTCCCCGATAATTCTACAAGCTCTTCTCTACATGTGTTCCAGTTTGAATTCATCTTTTTTTGAATATGGGTGATCAGAATTGCATGTAATATTCCAAATGAGGTATTAATACTTCCCTAGCTGTACTGGAAATATATCACATGATGCATCCTAGGATAATATTTGCTTTTTTTATGGCCATATTACATTGATGAGAAAAGAGGGCAACCTTTTTTTATGTTGCTTAAGGCCCTTTTTTACTTTATATATTGTATTTTTTTATATACTGTAAATTATATTTTTATTTTTTTATTTTTTATGATCGGAAATTAATGTTATTTTGTATAAAAACATTTTACAATACTTTATATAGTTAAACTTACAGAGTTTTTGTTTTGTTTTTTAAAATGCAGTACATACGATGCTAATAGTGGCTGAAATATTTGCTTATGCAATAAATAGATGCAGTACTTTTGGTCTTAGTTGTCAGGTTGAAATGCTTGGTCTGGGAACCTCAAATTTAAACCCTTTCAGTGCCATTGCTAAACTGCTGGATTGCGATCTTTGATAATAAAGCTACATGTACAATAAACTATACGTTCCTGCTCCAGGTGAATGGATGTGATGATCCGAGTCACGGCACCACCAATGTTGGGATTCCCTCGGAGGCCTTTTCCACTCAGCTTATTCAGAACACCTCATCCAGATCTGGGAGAACACTTCCTTCAATTCTCTGGGATCTAAAAAACTCAGTTTGACTCTAGATTGCTTCACTTAGGTGTCTTTATTTGGAGTACAACAAAGCTACGCTGAGTTGGTCAGACTCAAACTAAGAGGTGGGTGGGTATAGGCATACCACACATTCAAAGTTTCACTGAATACCTCTTTCTTTAAAACATTTACACATTACGTTGCATTTACTGTACATTACATCTCACTTTTTTGGATTGGCTTGGTGACTTTTTAGGAACCAATCCCTGTGCAGCATGCTCTATCCATGCTCAACCTCATCTCTATATTGCTAACTGATCTTGTCCAAAGTTATCTTGTTTGTATTAAGTAAATGGTTCCCTGGGTGTTGTCCCTCTTATCCTAGCTGGCTCAGACGTTGTCTTTTTAGTCTACTGATCTGTTTACTTATCGTATTTAGCACAGATTTCTGTTTTCAGCCTAATGACCTGTTTACCTTCCTAATTCTATCATCCAAGAAATGAGGCCTCCCTCCATGTTTTAATTACTCATTACAGGCCAGGCCTGAGCTAGAATAGTCATCCTGTGATTGACTAAAGGCTTGTCTACACTGGCACTTTACAGCGCTGCAACTTTCTTGCTCAGGGGTGTGAAAAAACACCCCCTTGACCGCAGTAAATGTCAGCACTGTAAAGCGCCAGTATAGGCAGTGCCCCAGTGCTGGGTGCCGCGCCCCTTGTGGAAGTGGTTGGGTTTTTTTTAAAGAGCACTGGGAGAGCTGCTGCGTTCGTGCTTTAGTGTTGCCAGTGTAGAGAAGCTCTAATACACCTAGTGTTTCCCCTCTGTTTCCAGCTGGTGGAACCCCCAGCTAATAGCAGTGTTTCCGTGGGAGTCACTGATAACCTGTTGAATTCCTGTTGATGAAGAGCTTTGCTTCCTTCCATGCTGAAACCAGAAGCGTCAGATCCAAATTGGTGTCAGGGAAATTGAACTATCCTGTTTTTCTTTTGGTCAACATCTTTACAATGGAAATGAGTAGTTGCGTTAGAAAATCCAGCTTCCTTCTTGGGATGGGGATATTCATTTCTGGACGTTGCCTGTCTTTAAATTTTTTTTGGTGAACTTTGTCCATATAGCAATCTCTTAAAAAATTAAAACCTTTTAACATCAATTATCTACATTAGGATTTGCATCCCCTTGAGCCTCTTGTGCATTTCTTGGATGAAGTGAAGGTACCCTATCTCTGCCTCTTGCCCACGTGCATGTCTTTGTACATGTCTGTTACAATATGGCAGTGCTCAGGAGCCCTGACCCAATATTTGGGGCCCCATTTTGCTTGGTGCTATGCAAACATGAAAGACACAGTTCTACAGAGTTTACTGTTAAAACTATCAGCCTGTGGAAGATGGGGGAGAAGGATATTATTCAACATAGACTTGCTACTTTTGTAATTTATATAAATATTGACTTCCTTAGTTGCTTGCCCCCCGAGCTGTCACTCAGGATAGTCCTGCTACCTTAGTCAGTGGCACAAATACCCTGCCTCTCATCCTCCTACATCACACAGACCGTTATACACCAGTGACCCAGGTTCATTTAAGGCATAAACCATTATCTGTGGCTTATTGCTCAAATAGTGGCTCTCCTGTTTACATTTCCTCTTATGTCTGTTTTTCAGGATAACTGTGAATGCTTGAAGTAAAACCGATGTAATTTTTATCTTTCTGGTTAAGGTAGAACCTGCACTGAGGGCTAAACTTTCATATGATGGCTGGGATTTAGTTGCGTTTTAATAGGAGTGCTGTAAGAATGGCCGTATTGGGTCAGACCAATAGTCTGTCTAGCCCAGTATCTTGTCGTCTGACCGTGTCTGGAGCCAGATGCTTCAAAGGGAATGAACAGAATAGGGCAATTATCAAGTGAGCAATCCCCTGTCATCCAGTTCCAGCTTTTGGCAGTGAGAAGTTTAGGGACACCCAGAGCACGGGTTGTCGATGACCATCTTGACTAATAGCCATTGATGGACCTATCCTCCATGAGCTTATCTAATTCTTTTTGGAACCCAGTTATACTTTTGGCCTTCACAACATCCCTTAGCAATGAATATCATAGGTTGACTTTGCTTTATGTGAAGTACTTCCTTATATTTGTTTTAAATCTGCTGCTTATTACCATATATACTCGTTCATTAGCCCATTCATTTATAAGCCGACCCCCAAAGATGGATAGGTAAATAAAGTAAAAACTGTATGACCCTTTCATAAGCCGACCCTGTATTTTAGGGGTTGGCAAACTTTGGCTCCTGGCCTGTCAGG